TGGAGAAAAAACAGTGATTAAAGAGAAAGCTTTTTCCACAGAAACATAAGGCAATGTCAAACAACAGTCTGACAAACCCACAGAAGCGCAGCATATAAAACTAGTTAAAAATGTATTTGGAGGTGAAGGAAGGGCACATTTTGGTGTGCGTGTTGGCTATGAATCCAAGAGTCGCTGTCCTTCATGTTGAATCATGCATTCCCAGCCAACGCTATGAAAGTGACGCTTGAAAGAAAGAAAACTGAAGGTTTAACAAATATGCCCATTAGTGTGGCATTCGGCAATTGCAAAAAGGCTTAAAAAAAAGTTTCTGCAAATGGGAAACAGATGATCAGAAAACATGAAATATCAATGCTGATGAGAGCAGCCCCGCTCATGGACAAACACAGAGCCGCAAACGTGCACACACATTTACCACCAGCGGTTTCCTAGAAAAAGCACGCTTGACTGCTCAACTGCACATGTGAAAAATAGACAAACCGATTATGGCTATGTTTATGTATGCAGAGTAACCTAAGCCAGTTTCGACTGAGTAAACATGGAAGGTAATTAGGGGCGTGTGTGTGTGTGTGGGTGTGCGCGTAACAAGGGGGGATCTAATGGAGGTCAGACAGAAAAGGTGTATGACGGGGAACCCTAAAGACCCTGATATACTGACAGCAAAGTTCTTTTTGTTGTTGTTGTGGTTGTTCACTTAGGAGTAAAGGAAGATTTGAAATACCTGAGCAGCGGTTTACTGTTAGCGAACATACTGAAGCCGCCCATGCTGCTGCAAGTGGACTTTACATGAATATGTTAATATGTGCTGCGCACTTTCCTCTCAAAAACAAAATAAACACACAACAAAAATGACAGCGCTGAGAAAACAGCATTTAAGAAAGCATCTGTTCATAGCAATGTGGATATGTTTGTACAAGCTATGCAATTTGGCACTCCAGTCAAGTCGCATCAAGTTTATTGATTAGGGATGCATCGATACCAATTAAATACTCTATTTAATTGGCTTAAAGGGTTAGTTCACCCAAAAATGAAAATTAGCCCATAAATTACTCACCCTCAAGTCATCCTAGGTGTATATGACTTTCTTCTTTCAGACGAATCCAGTTGGAGTTATATAAAAAATTGTCTTTGATCTTTCAAGCTGTTTCATGCCACTCAGCGAAGTGTTGCATGCACCAGTCCAAAAGAAGTTAAATAAAAAGCGCCAATCCTTAATAAAAAGTGTCTCACACGGCTCCGGGGGGTGAACAAAGGCCTTCTGTAGGCGAATCGATGCATTTTTGTAAGAAAAATA